TCCAACACGTAATGACCTCAGCGCCGTGCTCACATCAGACAGCCAGGACTGGCTGTGCCTGTCAACGGAAACACGGGCAATTAGGGGTGCACACGGACGTGAGAGAGAGAATATCAGGTAGATTAAGGTAAATGATGAGATGTAATCATCTATAAGACCTCGTAAGACCTGGCTAAAGGAGCAATTCATGACTTGCAGTAGTTGTACTGTAGCCCACATATTAGGATATTTTAAGATCTGTCCCCTCTCGTTTATTACAAATCCTGAGTTAATACTATATATTGGCATGATAATAGATTACAATGTATACATTTCATATGATCTTGCTCTCTTTTGCCACATTGGGATCTGGCTAAGGCCTAGATGTGTGGACGTTGTGTGTCCTGTGATGAGCTGGAGGCCCGTTCAGGATGGAACCTGCCTCTCAACCCCCTGCTAAACAGTGTAGGCTGTGGCCTGCTGGATTATCGGAATTGGATTAGGAAGGGAAGAGAAAATGCATTCAGGCACAATTAATTAGACTGCAGATCTTCGTAAAAAGAGCGCCTCTCATTCGTGCTTCGGACTTTAAAGGCTGCTTCTGACAAAAGAACGATACAAAAAATTAGTACAAAAAACATCCTGGAGGAAAACATCATGCTGTCTGTAAATGCAAAAAAGGATGACTCAAAGAAAGAGATTGTGATGCCAGATACCTGAAAATACACAGATGACTACCTCAAGAAGTTCAAACTTTTGAGCAGAATTTCACCTATAAAGTCATAGAAATGTGCTGACTCGGTTATCTATTGTGACACAAACTGACCAAAGTTGCCTAAATCTTTCCACCACACATCTCAGCTTGTGATTGTGATCTTAACATGCTCTTTTTATGATATGCAAACCTTATGTTGTTGAAAGATCTTGTACTAGTAAAGCATCTTTGCCTTGCACAAAAAAATAATAATATTAACAATAAAACTAACAATATTAACAACAACATTATAATAACATTATCACTGTAGTTTTTCATGAGAGTGACATCATTCTAAGTGTTCTGAATCTGAAAAATATCCCTTGAGGCACTTTTGAGTGGGCCAGTTTACAGTTAATGCAAAGTGATAGCTTGTTGTGACCTTCCAGTTTCCTTCTAAAGTGTTGCCATGCAGACCTGCTGCCTTAAGGCTATAAGGGAACTGGAAAGACGCAGTCAGGAAAAAAACACATGCTAACTTAAACACACGCCAAGACAGAGAAAACAGACATATAGTCAGATTAATCCCAGTAGACAGTAGGATGAGTCAGCCCCTATTCCCATCCCAGCTGTGACCCGGCCGCTCATGTAAACAAGTGGTGGAAACTGAAAACCCAAATACGACGGCTACACTTACAGGCATAGAACACGTTTACCGTTAGCTCAGATTAAGTTCAGTGTTACAGGCAGGAGAAGCAAGAACTCTCGGCCAATTTATTTTGCATCGGGCGAAAAAACACGCGCAGACGCACAGTTCCTATCGTCCAGCGTGTGTGTGTGAAATGTGGAATGCTGCTTTGGGTGGGTTTGTGTTCCTGGAGCTGGACCCCGCCTCAGCCAGGGATGTGCATCTGCTGGGCCTGTGCGGGCGGTTGTGTTCATCTGTGCGTGTGTGCGATCTGGACTGGAGTGAGCTCAGCTGTGAGTGTGTCACCGTGAGCGGGTGAGTAAGAAACAGTGGGCCGCAGGCTGTGCCGGAGCATGTGGAGGCCTGTGTGGTGTTTTTGTGTGCGTGGACAAGGGCGGGAGGGGGGGAGGGGGGACTAATGTGACATTCTCCCACCGCTTCCAAATCCTGGTTTCGTGCCCCAGCTGTCCCGGTGGACGGCCGCCAGACGACACACATAGCTCTGTTGTGCGTCTGCACTCTGTGACCTGCGACTGTGTGTGTGTGTGTGTGTGTTTGTGTTTGGCTGTATTGTCCATTCCAACATCAAGTTAAATAGGGTTAGTGTAACTGGAGAAATGAAGAGCGCAGGATCCTGCGAATGAGCGCTAAAGAGTGGTGAGTCAGAGACCGAGTTAAGTGCTCTGGTCCAGACAACACAATTTTATTATGGTGGGGAACATCAGCGGCATCAAACAAGCCACATAGAGACGTGTTCTTTTTTATGTCCGTTCTAAATTTAACACGTAAATATGTGAACAAACAAAACATGATATAATCACTGAAGGGAATGAAGGCAATCCATCAAGGCTAGCCGGACACATGAGACGGCATCAGTCATTCCCTCACATCCTTAAATACAGGCTGAGTAAGTCAGCTGTCCAATACTATTTTACTATTCTGCAGAAAACGAGAAAAGTTTGGAAGAATAGAGATTCACATACGTTTTGAGACTTTCTAATAGCAACAGGTCACAGATAACAGAGATTTTGGTGCCAGGAGATAAAATGTGTAGTTTTGGAAAGTTTCAGAAGATGTCTCCAGTGAACCTGAAATAGTGGAAAATTGCCCATTTCCCTTGTTATTCTTTCTAAAAAAAATCTGCTTAATCAAACGTTGAACTAGAGATAAATGGACTTCATGTTGTCCAGCAAACTGGGTCGTGATTGATCTTTTCATCGTATTGAAGCATTTTGTCCCACATGCCCTGATCAGAACCCCAGTGAGAGAGTAAAGGAAAGAGTCACACGTGGAGTGGAGAGAGAGAGAGAGAGAGAGAGAAAGAGAGAGAGAGAAAGGCAGACACATGTTTACGCATCAGGCTAAACGTGAATCAACAGACAGGTCGGGGTTTCTTAACCTGCGTGGTAATGAGAAACCTGTCAGCACCCCGCCCCTCCTGCCCGTCCTGCCCCTCAGCCAGGGCCACAAATCCTGCCCCGGCTCCATATGGTCTGCAGACTTGGGAGTTTCTTTGGTGAAGGATGAGACGAGAGGAGAGACACCATGTGATCTGTGTGGTTCACAGAATAGAAATCAGTGTGTCAAAGTGGATGTAGAGACGCAGAGGCTTTGGACCATCTGGTCAGAAGGTGACTGGGCTGATGTCTAATGGGATTGCTCTAATCTGCTTTTTACATTGACAGAAGGAGAAGGAAAAAAAAAAAACACACAATCATTAAGATTAAATTCTGTCTGCTAACTTGTCTGTTTTGAAAGGAAGTTGTGTTATAAACTCTTGTAAAAAGAAAAAGATGCCAAATTGAACGTCAGAGGGGTACGTCGTGCTGTTAGCGAAGCCATTTTGAATGAAAACAGATTAATAGATCATGGCAGAGATATGTCTATTTCAAGTTTGAAATCCCATTAAGCTCAGCATAACCAGATCATCCTTCTCCTCTCATGCACTGTTTGTTTGTTTGCTCAGGCCGGACTCTTATTTCCAGCCCGCTGGCTGCTTGGTGGAATCTGGGAGCCCAGCCCCATGGAAAATGATGACAAACACGGCATTTTACGAGTTAAACATCCCGCATGTATCTCCTCAAATACCAGCTGGCTTTGAAATGACACATACCCAAACAGGTGCTCACTCACTCACACGCACGCATTGTCACTCATATTTTCTGCCTTTGGTGATGTTGTACAACTGGTTTCTCCTCCTCCTCCTCCATACCTGACTTCCTCTTCTCTCCAGGGACCTGCACACAAGTGTAAATACCGGTGACTCATCAGTTTGGAGGATCAGCCTGCAGCCATAAACTCTGCATTGTTTTTCCACTCCTTTCTTTAGAAGAGTTAAAGGGACGAATGGAACTCAGGTTGAGAAAATAACAAATCGTGACACTCTTGTTTCACTAAACATCAAAGGGACTGGATGGATTGTGTGGTCAGTTTGGTATTTCGGGCCGATCTGAACACCAGGGCAGACTGAGGCGAAACTGTGACAAAGGTTTTCCACCCCAGCGTTCTCTGTGAGCGCACAAAATAAACTGGTTTGTCATGCCGGAACAGTGCACGCAGAGCTTTAGCCGTGCACTCACACCAAATCAGCCCTGACCCTCAGGTGCTCTGCCCTCTGCACAGGCTCTTTAAAAACATCTCATAACTGGGGTTATACGTCGAAGTTCCTGTGTTTTCACTACCAGACCAAAACAATGGGAACATTCTATTGGATATTGATTGAATTAGTCAGGCATTTCCCCCTCAAGTATAATGTAACAACTACAATAAGATGCGACGGAGCAGGTGTGCATGCGCGGTCCACTCCGTAAGTCCATCAGCCCAACTGTATGCCGCAAACTACACATTAATCTGTTATGTAACAGTAATCTAATACTGGAGGAAGGAAGCTGTGAAGCACCCAGGACAATCTGTGCGTCAGCCCCAGCTGACAACAGGAGGACGCTCACTCAGATTTTCCGTCAGGGAATTTACCTTCTTACATAGCGTTATCAGCTCGAGCGGGAGGGAGAGTTAAACAAAGCGTCAGCTCTTCAGGGGCACAAATCTGAGGCTGACTGGCAGTAAATGTTACAAGAGAGCCGAGCTGTAACCATTGTGTTAAGTACTGAAAAGAGAGCCTCCTTTGCCTCTTTGTGTGGATGTCTTTTAAGTATCGTAGTACTTAAGAGACCAGATTCGGTTCCACCCGTATTGTGTTACCTCTAAACTATTGGCCACAAGCGTCTGAGCGTATGAGGTAATAAGAAATTCTATCAAGAAGTAGACACATATAAACAGGTCAACATGATCAGAATGTTAATATCTCAACCAGTGCTCTGTGCATGAGTAGGATTATGAAAAGGTTGCTCTTTATTTCTGACTATTTTTCTGGTTTACCGTACAATAAGCCAATATACAACACACCCGATTTAGGATATCCAGGATTGTTTTGCAAGTAAAAAGAGATTCTGAAGCTTCAATCATCAGAACATGTGATTGATGGAATGGTGCTTTTAAACTTTCCTTTTATACTAGTTTGACAATTGTCTTCTCCAGGTCACTGAATCGTCACCGTTCCCATTTTCACTCAGGTTGTAATCTAATCTACAGTGAAAGTTCGGAAAAATTGAAGTAAAAAACAATCACCCCAGAGCGGAATGTGTCATTTAACAGCAATTTTTATTTTTTAGAAAAAGAAACTATCACAACTTCATTTGGTTACTGTACAGTTTCTCTTCTGGTAGTCACTCAGTCGGATAACAGGTTGCGATCTCATGCTGAACATCAAACACCCTCTTACTAACTCACACCACTATTACAACATGACAGTATACGGCTTTCTCCTGCGTCTGCTTTTCCGTTTTACATCCATCTGATATTCTGGAGTGAAAAGCATTAGAAACCACTTCTATAAAAAAAAAAAAAAAAAAAAAAAAAAAAAAAAAGAAAGGAGACAAAGTAGAAATCCCTGACAGTTTTACGTAGAAAATGAGGGACAAGAGAAAGAACTCTTTGAATGGTGTGGTCCACATCAACATGCACCTGACGTGTCTCAGTGCGCGTCTGTGTGCGTGCGCGCGCTTTGGACAGCACCATAATTCATTATTCATGTGTATTAAAGAGGTTCCCTGCCCTACATGAGACAGAGTGAGAGAAAGAGACAGTTGTGGGGTAGGGTGAGGGGTGGGGGGGGGCAGAGAATGAATTTAGGTCAGACGGTGGCGCATGCATTCTCCCTCCGCTGAGAACGGGAAACGCAATCTCTGGCTCTGGCTGGACACAACTGCATGCATGTCGATGTAAATGTGGGTTTGAGGGATGTATCAAGTATGTCTCCCTGAGAAACACTTCACTCTTCAGTACCGCAGGATTCCTCCTTTTGTCACTGGCCTGACCGCTACACCTCCCGCAGAGGGGAAAAGAACAACAAGAAAAGAAAAAAAAGAAAAGGGAACCTGGCTCACATTGAACGTACTGCTCTTCATTTTACCCACCTGGCACTATTCCTCCACTTGGACTACCATTGCTACCGGCCTGTCAAAGGGAGGAGCAAACGTGACACGCAAACTTCCAAACTACATTCCTGGCCACCGGCACGTGGCCTCTGTGGGCACTGACCTGCAGCTTTCCTAGCCTCCCTGGATTTATCAGTTTAAGTGTTTAAGCGGGCCCCAGGCCGAGGCCCTCGTAAAGCGGCTGGGAACACGGGGCGCGATGGTGGCACCTCTGGGGCAGAGTTTCAGTGGTGCTGCTTTTGTGAAGTGGAAGGAGGGCTGTAAATAGGTAGTCCCCCTGACCTTTTGTCGAGGTGTCCCACGGTAGCATCTCAAAGGTGAAAGCGTTGGGACGCACTAATCTGCGTCGGGAGAGGCGGGGAGACGGACACAGTGAGACAAAAGCCGAGGCGGAAGTAAAGACTCGCTGGTGAGTTGCCCTAGTTATTCAGTCCAAAGGAAGCCAAACCGGCGGAACCTGTTTCCAGGTATTCATGCTGTTTTCCATGCTGTGTACGGGATAATGGTCTCGCAATGCTAAAGCGTGACTTTATAATTCGACTTGTTTTGACTGAATAAATATGGACACCTGCTAACATTGACCAGACAGCAGTAATGTCTGTAGCCCTTCTGGAGTTTCACGGGTATGAGAACGTCGGGGTTCCTGCGAGCGTGTGAGAGCGAGTGTGAGGTGACGGTGGAGGTGTGCTCGAGTGTGTGTGGCTAAAACATGCAACACTCGCGTGAGAACAAGCACGGGTCAGAAACATCTCATTTGCAAAGCTGTCCACTCACACAGGGAAGGTTTTAAAAAAGCATCGTCTAATCAAACCTATCAGCTGGCTGTATGCAGAAACTCCACAGCCACTCTGGGAAATCCTCCGTAGAAAATCTTTAATGCTTCCTTTATGATTTCTCTCTCTTTGTTCAGCTAATATTAAAACCAGGAACTGGGGTGTCGACACCTCTCAGTAGAAAACAAATAAAAGAAACAAAAAAAAGTTTTAAAACCACTGCCTCCAGTACTCCGACTCCTCCCGAGGAGTGCGTAGGAGGGGGAAGTGGAGAGCGAGAGGAGGTAAGGGACTCTCTCTCTACTAGGAGACAAGTTTAGGTAGGACTGTGCGAAGAGGTATGGCCTCCCCTGAATCTCCCATCATGTTGCTCCTCAGTTTGTTGCCGGCAGCTGTGGTGCCTAGGCCAGGCCCCCCTTTTGCCAGGATAGAGGGGAAGGAGGTGCTGTGGTGCTCAGGGAGTCGTTTCATGGTAGGGGCCTGGCTCTTCTCCGTCCCAGGCAGGGGCTTGGGAAGCCGGCGGTACAACCATGGGTGTCTGAGGGCCTGGCTGGGGGTGAGTCGAGATGAGGGATCCCAGTCCAAACACTTCTTTATGAAGTCAGTAAAGGTCGGGTCCTCGCAGCCCTTGAGCGCAGCGCTCCACTCCTTGCTGCCCGGTGGGCCCCTCATCTTGCCGCGGCGTGAACGAGACCCCGTCAGCACAGTGGCTCCGGTTGGCAGGGTGTTGGCTACACAGTAGCGAGGGTGGCCCTTTGAGTTGATGAAGTTCTTAGCCCTTTTGGCCTGCTCCAGGACCTTCTGCGGAGGGGTGCCCAGAAGCTCCATGACGCAGGCCAGCTGGTCACCCTCGTCCTCCCCGGGAAACAGGGGGTAGCCAGTCAGCAGTTCGGCCAGTATGCAGCCGAAGCTCCACATATCAATTGGGAGGCCGTAACGGGAGCCCAGGATCACCTCTGGGGCTCGGTAAAAACGGGACTGGATGTAGGTATACACCCGCTGGTGTTCAAAACAGCTGGAGCCAAAGTCAATCACCTGGCAGAGACAAGGGAAGAACAGGTTGTAGTGAGTAACCAGTCAAAAGGCCCGCTCGAATGCGGCGTGAGAATGTGAGCGCTGTTACCTTGATGCCGCTGCGGCCCTGCTGCTTCAGTAGGATGTTCTCTGGCTTGAGGTCACAGTGGATAATCCGGTGCCTGCTCAGAGCCTCCAGGCACTGCAGGATGGAGTGTGCAAACTTCCTGACCAGCGGCAGACTGAAGCCCTGGAACTTGTTGCGCTTGATGAGCTCGTACAAATTCATGCTCAGCAGCTCAAAGGTCATGCAGATGTGGTTGCGGAAGGTGAAGTTTTCCAGCATGTGTACGACGTTCATGGCGCCGTTGCGGTCCTGCTTGCGCAGGTGCTCCAGGATGCGGATTTCCTCCTGCGCCTGCCGGTGGAAACGCTTCTCGTTGCGCACCATTTTCAGAGCCAGGTGCTGCTGCAGTTTGTGGTCGTACACCTTGGCCACCTGGCCAAAGCTACCTTTTCCAATGATCTAAAGGGGGAACGAAAGAGAACCTGTCGTTAGCGGACGGTTACTTCGAGGGTGAGAATCTCCGGCCTACAGCTGCAGACTGAGCAGCTGACCTTCAGGAACTCGTAGCGGTAGGCCAGGTGGTCGTGGGGAACGTGGATGTAGCCGCCCTGCTCGTCGTCGTAGCCACAGTTGTTGTTGCCTCCAGCGATGGCGGGCCTCTTCTTGGCGCTGGGTCCCACAAAGTAGATGTCTGGGTAGGAGTGGATCTCTGTCTGCTCCAGGGGGCTGAGCTGGGATCGGTACAGTCTCAAAGCCTGGTCGGGAGTGAGCGGGCCACACAGCTTGCCGCCACTGCCTCCATTTCCGGCTCCATGTGGGCCAGAGGAATCGCTGGAGCCCTTACCAGACTCGGTGCTGCAACAGAGAGCGCAGCGGAAACACTGATCAGACACCGAACGGCAAAAGCTGCAACTCTGGCTGTTATCTTCCGTTAGGGTTCCCTTCCCTTCGTTAGGGTTAGTGCTTTCTCACCTGTCCACGCTGAGCTCCTTGGACAGGCTGGAGACTGGGGCCGATTTAATGGGTGTGTGGCCTGTGCTGCCACCGGTCTGAGTGGTTGCTGTTGCTATGGCGTTGATCTTTCGGTTATTGGTCGAGTCTTCGTACAGGTACTTGACCTTCAGCTGGCCACCTCGCAAAGCCACCTGATCCCTCATTACAACTTTGTTACTGACGACCTATCAGGAAAAACACAAAAAGATGACCATTAGAGACATTTTTATTGGACTTTATCGAGAAGCAGTACTTTTTTTTGTCAACTTGAATAATTTAACAAATTACACACTAGAGGACGCTTCAGTAGATTCGTCTTAAGCCAAAGCAGAAACCCAAACCAAAAAGATTGATGACTGTTAACAAAAAGCAGTGCGACCAGCAAATCTTAGATTGGGTTCGGTTTTGTTCAAGTTTCAACCTATTCATAAGTAATGAGCAGCTGATAAGAAAAATATGCAACTTGCAGCTGGTGAACCGGCACAACGGGATCCTGTAAATGCTTTGAAGTGTTGAACCCACCCCTCCAGCACACACTCAGAACCTCCACCCTCTTGATTGTGTAATAGCCGTTTTCAATTACATGAGAGAATAGGCAAGGTTGGGCTCATCAATGCAACCTTTTTTTTTTTAATTACATGGTCTAAAATTCAACCTCTAAAAGTGATCTGAATGTTTTCATTTGTTTTGTCATGCTTTCATAATCTGACTGAACTCAAGTCATTACATTTTTATCTGGACAATGTCATTTTCAAAACATTTTTTAAGAATATCAAACATAATTTGGAACAATTGTCAGAAAAATAGTTGTTATATAAAGAAAATATCGCAAATCTCTCCAGCAAATAGCTTAGTTTTGGAAATCCCTGGAATTCACTCTCCCCCCTGACTTCTCACTAGTTCTCACCAGTGGAAATAAACCTTCCGCAAGATTACGGAGCACAAGGGAAATCATGGTCATTAAAGTTAGATTATACTCTTATGGAAGCAGTTCTGTTGCAAAGACACCACTGGAGGAAAACGGCCAGTCTTCCAAAACAGACAGTTTCTCTTTCTTTCTTTTTTTTTTTTTTTTACAACTGTTTTTCCTGTTGCTTCGTGGAGCCTAAGGCTTCAGAGACAAACAGATCCGTGACTGGCTGAAAACATGTCATTTCACAGAGACAACATCTCAAGGGATGTTACTTTCAGAGGTAGGTGTTGACAAATCTTCCCTTGAAAGAGGACTCGGCTGAGAGAGAGGCAGTGTTGTAGGTTTGAGTCCTAAAATTAGAGATGGAATGTGGCGCTGGTTTCCATACTTGTAACCATATATTCTTCACTTATTACGGGCCTTTTTGCTGACCCAGGGTCCTATGCAGCTGTTGCCCAAAGGCTGCAGAGCAAACACAGCCAGTGTCACTGACCGATCGCTGCACAGACACACATTCTCCGACATGAAAATCAAAGCTTTCTGCATGTGCCCGACTGTAATGGATTACTGGCTGACCGGACAGCGGGTGCACGTGGAAAATGGGGACAAAAATGCAGACAGGAAGTGAGTGGGTGGATCATCCCCAACACAGGTATCATTGAAGGTGGTGAGGACTGTGTGCAAATCTGTGTGCAGCAACAGATGGAGAAGAGCTAATCTGTTTGCTGTGAGAGAGACGCTTTAGGATTCTTTTCTTCTTCTCTCACGCACACAGAATTGCAACACTGCCAGCAATCAGAGAGCTGTGTTAAACACAGTAAATATGGGTAAAAACAAGCTCTTAAATTGAGGAGCAATCATGATAAACCAAAGCCCCAGGACCTTATCACACTTCTGGATTATTTATTTTGTATTATGAAGAATGGCTAAATGTACCAGCGTGACGTAAATAATTCAAAATCTCGGTTAACGCAGAAGCAGGTTGACATCAGCTCATCACTTTAATGGAGCACGAGACAGGTCTCTGAGCAAACTGAACTGGGGCGACTTACTGTCTGTCACATCTAGTAGAGGACAGTATCTCTATGAGCGTGACAAAAAAAACACAAAGGACCAGAATAGAAAACTAGGCCTAACCTCTGTACAAGCGCACTGATGGAAGATCAGACGGGCCAGGGGATGGGGAGTAGGGAAGAGAATGTTGATTGCCGATTTTGTTTGTGGGTCACATTTTCAAGCCCAATAAATCTTTACAATGTATCAAACCAGCCTGATTCCTCTGCGTGCATCAGTGTTTATGCTTATTTTCTGCTGAAGGGGGCATTCACAGAGAAAAACCACATCGCACAATGTCCACCATTGCAACAAGGCTGCAACATTAAAGTTTACATGTGCTCATTAATCCTTTTATTAGTGCAATTTGTTCGGGCCGAGATATTCCCATAGCAAGTAAAGCCCCAAACGAGCTTATGATGATCTGAACTGGATCCACTGATCAACGAAATGGGTTGATTTAGTGGGGCTCTTTAAAACCAGCTGCAACTGGTTCTTCTGGGACATAAGGGCACAATATACTGGTAAATCTGCATTGTCTGTACCATGAAATCAAGTCTTTTGTGCATTCAAATAAGGTACATGTTTACAAGCTTATAAATTTGTGTCAAGTCTGCTTTCACTTTGGCAAATCCGATATACCATATGGCCCGAACAGCATCAGTTAATATTACTCACATGATAGTGGAGTTCTCACTGAGGGACCTAAAACTACTTCACTTGTCAGAGACAAGAGATGAGGTAAAGATAAGAGCTTCCAAAACTACACAGCAAGAGTCAGGGACAGAAGAGGAAGGGTGGCAATGTGGCCAAGATGAACAAGGCTGACCATGGGATAGCTCCTGAAGGAACAGGATGTCTGGAGACAGAGAGAGTCTCGACACAGGAAACGGGGCTTAACTGGCTTTGAGTTTGTGTACGTGAACATTGTGTGTGTGTGTGTGTACACTTACTGTGTGTTTGGGCATCGGGGGCAGCCCAGATGGGCTGTTCGTATCTGCTTCTTCTTTAAGGATGTGGTCTGTCCTCATGTAAGAGTCGTACAGGCCGTCACCATGGCGTGCTAAAGGGGGAAAAAAAGAGTAAAAATCAAATAGATTGGCATATCATTGTGGGCCAGCCTAACTCTGCAGCACTGATTTACTCATGGATAAAAAGCGAGCGATGGGATTTGGAGGCAAAACCTACAGAAAGCAGTTTAATCTTCTCCAAAGAAACATCCAATCCTCTGTTTCCCTAAACCAAGCAAACACCCATTGATTTTCTCATCAATCAACGTCCCCCTATCCCCCTTTTTCCAATAACCACCCCGACACTAAAACAAATGATTTGTTACGGCCTGACAAATCCCTTCAACCAACCTCAGCAGGGCTGCCCATTCCTACTGTTCACAGTGGGAATGAATGTTTTCTGCCCCTAAAACCTAACCCCGCATTTACTGTGAAGCAGCCATTATTAGCAGGTACGCCATTGTATCTATTGTTTCCTATACATTGTATCCACGGCCAGGGCACTGACCTGACAGCTTAGATAGGGCTTAGGGTCCCAGATCGCAAGCGCTGCAAGTGGTATTATTGGCCTAATGGGGGTAACAGATGCCTCAGTGACGACAGCATCTTTCCATCTGTCCATTCAGGCCAAGTCATTTAAGGCACACACCAGGTGTGCGCAGAGCTTGAGCCAACATGGAGGGTTGTGGGGGCTTGTCATTCAATAGCACCGGGCATCGTGTGCACCTCTGTGGCCTTGAGCCAAACACATACAGTAATGTGATATGATACAAACAAGAGTAGACAGATGAGCGGGGCATCATGCAGAATGATACCCCCCCCCCCCCCCCATCGGCTGGCTGTCTACCTCAACAGTTGTATAGACAGCATACACACATTTTCTTCAGTACAGTAAGGGTTGGGCGTATGAACAATGACAGCTAGGGACAAAAAGGTTCAATAGCCTAGAAGTCTAAGCCATTAATAAAAGCCATTGTGTTGGGTTAGCTCCTTAGTAAAAAGCCCCCAGATTTGGCATGTTTGATATTCTCTCGGACGGGTCCCAGAGAGCTCTGTAGCCAAGTGCAGGTGCGTCAGAGCATATGTCCCTCGTGCTCCTGAACAGATTAGACCTGCTACTCGGATACTGACGCATTAAACCTTCCCAGCACAGCAACCAGCCGCATTAGGGCCCCACGTAAAATATTAGGCAAGCACAGACCCCATTAGCCCTGTGCAAACTCCTAATCACTCTGCAGAGGCTTGGCAAGTGCCTTGCAGAATCTGACTTGCCTGTATCCAAGTAAGACTTTTAAGAGGAAAAGCAAACAAACACACACAAAAAAAAACACAGGGCCCAATCTCCTATTTAACCAAGCACACGGGCCAATGCAGTCAGCTGGTGTCCTGCTCCCCTCTATCTGACCCCCCTCCCCTCTCTTCACAGCAAATGGTAGAGAACAAGGTTCAAGCAAACAGACACACAGCAGATCATGTGTCATAAAACGTGTGAGTGGTGTCCAGTCACAGCTTTTTGTCCCCCAACTCCTCTCCATACTTTGGCTGGTGCCTCTGTACAGTCCCTGTAACCCCCCACCCCCATAAACCACAAATTACAGCTAACCTAGGGTTCAAAACCTTTGCCAGGTACACATCACGATACAACCAAGTCAAACCTAGAGCCAAAATCATATTTATGCCATTTCTTTAGTGCCCATATAAACTTATGCCAATGATACCTATAAAACATGATAATAAGTTCTTACGAGAAGCAGGTGATAACAACGCCGCACTTCCTGGACTGACGTCCAAAACACTCGCTATCAGAGGTCTCGTGATTGAGGTGGCTATCCAAAACGAAAGAAAACATGTTTACAACCCGCATCTTGTAAAATGCCCCAGTTATCATGGCATTAGCTGCTGCCGTCCCTCCTCTGACCACAGAGCAACGCGACGTGACATTTCACCAGCGAAAACTCCCTCATTCGCAGCCCCGCTGAACAAAAACAAATATGGAGAATCTCCGATGGAATCTCGAGGGACAAACTGGGTCCTTTTCCACAAGAGAGCACAACTCTTTCTCGTTCGAAACAAAATCAAAGGAAGCAGAACGTGTAGCAAACAAAAATGTAGTGAGTTTGTTGTGGTTACCTGTTGCTATTGGGCCCTCCGGTTTTCTGCTTATTATCATCATGATTGCAATTAATTTGTGATGCCAGCATCCGAAGTTTAAAAAAAAAATCCCGAATTAAAAAGAGAGAAAAAAGTTCAAATCACCTAGCAAACTCAGCTAACCGCATTTAAAACCTCAATTTAAGTGTTTACAAGAAGTTCACAATAAGTCTATATATCTTTTAGCTATAACGTCTAACTTGTTTTCTTTTCCTTCCTTGGGGTTTAAGTAACTCTTTTCGACTTTAACAGTGATTCGTCGTTGTTTTATTAAAAAGCCAGAGTCGTGTTTTCAGACTCTCTCCGGCTAACATTAGCCTTCCCCAGCAGTCTGGAAACTCTCGACGGGCGGTGGGGGTCGTTTTTCCTCAGCTAGCAAGTGGGCTAGCTCGCGCAGCCACAAAAACAGTCGTCCGGACGGGAGCCGCTCCCTCTGCTCAAAGTAGTTTGAGTCCAAATACTCGTTGCTCTGGCCCGCGTGCCCCTCGCCTTTCTCTGACAGAACAATGAGTCGATCCAGAGCACCATTCCCGTCCCGGTTGGCCGACTTGGTCGTTAGCAAGACAGCGATGCAACCACACGTCGAGCCCCCAGGATTTGTCCTCCTTCGGGACAGCTAGGGGCTGCTTCGTTCGTCTTCAGAGAGAGAGAGAGAGAGAGAAAAAAAAAAGCAAGCTAGCTCGCTAGCTGTACACAAGCCCCCATGTTCGCGGCAGAAAACAAACAGCGGCTCCTCTTCGCGTAAGGCTTCACTTGGATGTGAGTGCAGCAAAGCTGTGCCGTTAAATCCTTCTTCAGACTAGAGAGTATCTTATTTGACGGCGTTGCATATTGTTGCTAAGGGCGTCTTCAGTGAGGCTGGAATCATCAGGCAAACAGAGGGAGGACGCGAGGGGAGGGGAGGGGAGGGGGGGAGGGAGGCAGGGCGGGGCTTAGGGGAGCGAACAGACCCGTGCTGTCGCTCGCCCCCTAGCGTCCAGTTTGAGCTCTGCAGAGGAACAGGGCATTTAATCGCAAGCGTTACAATTATAAAGGGTGGAATAACCATTTTGAAAGAGGCCCAATTAATGGATGTTTAACAAAATATATATTTTGCAATAGCACAAGTAAATTATTTCAGTAAACATATTCAATTATCACCCTAAAGCCCTTTATATTGACACCAGACTACACTGAAAACAGATGCTCATAAACCTTCTAAAGGAGTCTTTTTGACTAATGAAAAGTGAAGAAACAAATGAAGAAAAATGTAAAGCAATGCATTGTTTGAGAGTGATTGCTACTTATGAGCTGCTTTTATGAGTTTGTTTGTTTCTGAAATTTTTTACAAGCATTTAACTTTTGTCTGACTATTCTTTCGAGTAAAGAAAAACTGTCATGCTGATAAACATTCAAAGAATATAAGTCTGTCACAGCCCTCCCGAGGTCCACACAGTGTTATTGGTCATTCGCTCTGCATACCCTATGAGGAGAACTGTGGACTGAAACGGTATGGAGATCTATATAGAGCTAGAAATAGTTGGAGGCAGTGCAGAGGACAGGCAGAGTGAGAGCGGGCCAGCATGAGAAGGGGAACAGACTAAATTCAGATAGTGATATATGCTGGACAGAGGGTGATGCTAATCTTAGCTCTTTCTCCGAGGTGAGAAGTGGGATCTGTCGATATTTGCTGCCATAAATACGCATGCTGACACAGTTTTAGGTGGCCCTCTGGCCGGCAGCCAACCCTTAAGGCCACTTTGGCCATGCTGGGTATTCTTAGACGGTGGCGGATAGCGAGAGAAGGGTGACAATGCCTATAAACTGATGTGCATCTTGCACTTTCCTCTAAAGAGAGCTCAAGGTGCAAGTGCGTGACCAAGTGCCAGTTCAATCCCAGCCAGTGAATTTACAACCACAGCAAGACATGGGACCAGGTGCAAAGCTACCTATAGGTCCTTGTAGGAGCTCGGACTCTATTTGGTCTGAAACCTTGTGACAGACACTGACACCTGTCAGTTTATTGGCATAACACCACATTCTGAATGCCCTTTGAATACAAAAGACTACCTTAAAAGAATCAGGGAATGCAGTGAAAGTACTGCCTCTAAACCTACATAACTTCCTTTTCTGGCATATTTAAGCATTTAAATAGAGAGAGAGAGAGAAAACACATAATGACATATTTGCTCTTGACCACAACTAGCCAATGTTCAGCTTTTGAAAACGTTGCTTGCAGAGCATGGGGCATCTCACCACCTGCTGGTGAGTTGGAGGCAATGCAAGCCTAACAGAATGAGTTTGCCCATTTAAAATGATCAGTACCACAATATGATTACGTTTCATTTTACAAATGTATTTTAGCAGAGAAACAAAAAACAGTTGGAAAGGATTATCCTGTTATTTTATTGGAATATTCTGTACAGTTCTACTCATATATTTTTTACACACTTCTCAAATAACAGAAAATAACTTGACCCCCCCATCCCCCTCGAAAAAAAGCGACAAAAAGTCTCAGCATCCTTTACGTAATATCACATGGATGAACCATGAAATAAATAAAACACACACACACACACACCCACATTATATGGGAAGATGACACACACACATACAGTACCACCCCAAGGAACACATGCAAAAGCCTCCATACATGTACTCAGGCACCTGTGTGTGCTGACACACACTGTACAAAGATACACAGGGACAAGTGAAACAAAAGGCACTGCCAGCAGGAACAGCTCGGGCTTTGGAGGGTTGGTGGTAAAAAAACCGGTCGGTGTTTACAGAGGATCAATTTTCATGCACGATGGCCCCTTTTCGGTAGCATTTTACCTGAATAAATGGAGTGATGTTAAAAGTTTTTGGATAAAATACATTGACAGTGGACATAAATATGTATGAATTTTCAAAACGAAAAGAGAGGCTCCTTTACACTTCAGATTCTCGATGAGGGAGCACTGACGACATGCACACACTCATTTTTAAAGCATTTTTTCACATAATCGCAACTGGCTATAATCATCACACTTGCACGTTCGCACACGCGCACACACACACACACGCACACACGCACACACGCACACGCACACACACACAAACCAGTAGGAATATAGAAAATAAAACGTCAAAATTCATAATAACAACAGAGTTAAACTATGTCACTCTTTTTTTGTCCAGTGTCTACACATTTTATATGCATTGCAAACACTTCATTGGTACATCAAAGCCATAATTGTGACTTTCAGATATTTTTGGGTCTTTTCTTTGTTTTTGTACAGGGGTGGAAGGCAGAAAGATAAAAGAAACGCATAAATACATGCTGTCCCACAGAGATGCCTACCACTCGTTGACCCGCACCTATGAATTCAAAACCGAAGCTGGTTGGATTTTTACAAACACCTCCTTTCACAGAATAAACTTCCAATAGTCTCTGATGCATTGTTAATTCCATCAGTCCATGTGTCACTCTAAACTTTGGTGCAATAGTCTTTTCACATTCAAAAGCCACCCAGGGACATAGTTTGTGGTAGATATGTGGGCTCTGTCTTGCAGCTTTACCTGTAGACGGGGTTCATGCAAGGTGGGTTCGATGGGGGTTTAGACCAATGATGAAAAGGCCAATGATGTTACAGTTACCACCTGTGAGCATGTCACAGGGTATAATGGAGGACAAAGGAGAGCGAAGGTGTGATCGAAGACCTTCCTGATGTCATTCTCCTCTTTTTAGGCCTTTTCACATGCAGAAGCTTTTAGGGGGGGCAAAATAAGAACAGATAAGCATGTGCCAAAGTAAATTGGTGTGAGTTGGAGGAGGGTGTTTCTTTTTCTCCCACACGTTTTCTTTTTACTCAACTCATGCTCCCTGAGAAAAAAAATCAGAGAATGAATCTCTTTTTTCTTATGCCTCCACCCCTCTTTGCTCTCAGAAAGAAATGTAACCCCTCGCTTCTTGACACTACACACTTCTATCACAAATCAAGGTATCCAGCGACAAAAATAATATATCTTATCGTAACAGATGCATTTTTTTCCAAAGGGGAAAAAGAGCAAAGGTGTCCTTCCATCCCTCTTAGATGCAGAAAAGAAAATACTCATGCCTTCTGTTTTATTTCTAACTATGTGCAGGACAGATGAGCTGAGTCAGACTCATGCATAAGTAACACTTGCAATAGCAGCAGCAGCAGTAGCAGAAGAGCAGGGATTCTTTAAAAATGTCACTGATTCACATCAGTCCCAAATGAGATCCCAAGTGGAAATTACAGCCCGGATCTTCCTGTGTGTGTCCTTGGCAATCAAAACACTATTTGTCCACATCCTCTCCTGAGGGAGCAGATAGATGTTTGTATGCGTGTCAGGGGCGTGTGTGAGTCCTGAGATAGGATAAGCATCTGTGTGTGATTTCTCTGTGTCTGCATGTTGATTAGAGGCAAGCGCAGCTCTGGCTTTGCTCTCTGAATAGATCACAGGGTTGTATGGGGGTAGGTCAGTGTTCAAAGGGTACGTGTGTTCCTGCGTCGGAGACATAAGGTAACAGGTGAGGCATCAGGGGTCGAGCTGTTGCAGGGCCTTCTGTAGCTTCTGTCGGTAAATAGCGTATTTTTGCTCCACTGCCCGTACACGCTCTGTCTCCTCCTTATCCAAGATAACCAGGAAGTTTTGAAGCTCGGGGACAGAGAAAGCATGCCACTGTGGGATTAAGAGTGAAAAATAGGAGAAGCTCATTTACTTCCTTCTGCTCATTCGATGAAGGCCTATTAAAACAGGGCATTAACTGTCTGTGCTCTCACCTCTACTTCTCCAGTCTCATTTTCCTTAAGGACAAAGCTGAGCTTCTCTGGGTCTGGTCCTGCAATCAACCTCAGGAGGAGGGGTCGTTCTGACAGAGGGAGCTTCTGGAACAGGTCTGCGCAAAAGACGGAAAAAAAAGAAGGCGACGATTACAGACGCGGCTGGATAACGGTGGCCTCCGGTGCTGAGGCGCCGCTCCCTCACCCTGCCCGTCGCGGTGCGTCTGCCTGTACAGTGCAAACTTGCGGGGATTGTCCAACACCATGAACTTCTTCAGCAAGCCCTGAATGACCTCTCTGGTGGTGGTCAGATAGCCAATGTGGAGCTGCTTCACACAGTCACATGGTAGGTAGAAGGAGGTCCTGTTTTCAGAATGGCCGCCGCCCGTTTCGTCCTGGTCATCTGATGCCCGCCGGCTGCCTGGCCAGGGCGCCCCCCCCTCAGAGTCCGTGGCCTCCACAGCAGGGACCGTCACAGGTCGACTGAGCCGCAGATGGACCTTAATGAAACCTGTGTAAGACCCGTCTGCAGCCTGAGGCCCACCAGGGAGAGGAAGAGAGGAGATGGAGAGTTTTTCATAATTATGTTTACACAGCACTGTGTGTGTGCGTCCACAAAATCCAGAAACATCTCTTTAACAATCTGCTCTACTTTGTAACCACTGAGACATACTTCTTTGCACGGTATTTTCTTACTGTTTGTATTCATTCACAAAGAAATGATGCCACAGATATAATTTGGTAATTGCATCCTCGAAACAACATTTTATATCAATATAATACATTTTCAGAATTTGTGAAAAATAGGTTTGTGCTATGTGCTGTAGGAAATGGACTAGATCTAAAGTATATTTGTTTTCTTGAGCATATTTGTTTTTAGTTATAATTTAGCCCATATGCATACTTATGCATGTACTGATAAATTACACATCTGCAGAATACTCAAGAGCAAAAATACTTTATTGGATGAGCTGTGCATAAAAAAACCTTTAGTGTGTGTGTAGACTCACCAGGTTCATTCCATTTTCAGAAACCTGGGCGTTATACTCCTGTATTCTTGCCCGCACTTCTTCTTCTGATAGGTCATTAGTTCCTCCCTCCTCTTCTTCCTTTGTCTGACTCGGCTAAAAGGTGAAATAAAGTAAAAATGTAAGTAACCAAATATATTAGCCAGCAGATGGTGCCATCGACCCTGCCATGTACAAACCAAATAATCTCTCAAGTCCATGAAGATACACAATCACCAGGGTTCTAAAGGGGATCCCTTTTAAAAACTGGACCTATGTAACTTCAGGTAAACTGCATGATCCCCACTTGTATGTGAGGATACTTGTAATCTTAACCCATCCTCCTCCTAATTATTGTTAAAATGGGAGTCAAGAAATGTGAATGGAGCTAATTATGTTCAGCATCACATCCTGAGAATATTGACAGCTTTGCCTCCCTCTCATTCACTCTTCTGAAAGAGGAGAGGAAGAAACCATGAAAGGAGCAGAAGGAGGGGGAGGTAGTGAAAGAAGCAAATAAGTGGTGAGGAATGATGAAAGAGTGGCTGCTGAGCCAGCCTTAGCAACACTGAGTTTGACTGGGTTATTTTTAGTACAGTGGGATGCATCCTCTATCTCATAATAGTTTTTCTCCCCCCCATCTTTTACAGTTTGTATGCTCTGTTTGTATGGGAGAGTGTGAGAAGAATAGCAGATGTGGAGCAGGAATCTTCCAGAGAAGGGGAGTCCTCAGTGTGTGGGATGAAGTCACCGTTTCTTACATTAAAGGCATGAAGAATGAGTTTGTGTGCTAGTGTGTGTATACAGAAACTGAGGCATCCTTATGGTGACAACAAACAAACTTACAAAACAGAGAAAGTCCTGGCTGACAATAGGCAGAGGAAGTCACAAAATCAGCATAACTAAGACTTTAAGAGATTCAGATAATCAACCGTTATTTTTCACAAGTGGGTATAAAACAGATAGAAAATTTGGCTTCTCATGACCAGTCACTCCTGTATGCATTGCAAGGTCCTATCAAAAATACATATTTAAAGAAAAACACAAAAAGAGGATTCTACTGTGAGAGATGACATTCTTCATGTTGCTTCAGAGATCATCAACAGTGAGTTTACTGACCTCTTCGCACGCACAATTATAATTAGAGACGCTTAAGTTGCGTTGGAGCAATGTCAGGCGAATGTTGTGTAATCTGGGGTTAGAAAAAGAATCTAAAGGGGTATGTAGGAGTGAACTCGTTTCATGAATTCCTCCCAGTCAAAAGCAACAAAATGAAAAGAACCTCGCAGGAATTCCTGCGTTTGTATGCAAGTTTTCTAAATGTATCGGACGCAGTGCCCTGCCCTCCCTTTCTGCATACCAGCGAGAGTGATTGGACAACAATAGAGTTTGACAATGGCGCAACTTTCGGCACCAAAAAGTTGCGGCTGGACCAGGTCACCGTGGTGCAAATGAACACGAGTCTGCAGAAGCTGAGATATAGAGCTAAACCACAGCAGTGACAAAACAGCAATTACGTTTGGACAAGTGCTTTAAGCAACTGCTTGTCAAGGCATGGGAAATATATGTTTTGTCACTCCAAGTGTGCCTTCCATTTTTCTAATAAACACCCATGAAATCTTATCTAAACACAGAGTAGGTTAAGCACATTCAATTCCTAACAATCTTATGTCACCATTTACCACTATTTGTAACAAAGGCAAATCTTGTTGAATCTTATCTTAAAAAGTTTAAGTTTTCGCAGTTTTGATGTCATCTCTTGTCAACCGGTACCTCAGGTGATGAGTGTGTCCTCAGCTAAATGCCCAGACCCTCTATGGATGTCTAGTTGTTTTGTCACTGTCTGGTGAAAGTAATTATGATGCAGGTAGCAGAGACAGGTAAAGCCCATGTTATATGGTCCATCGTTGTTATCCTGGCAGATGTTAGATAGCTGAATTATATTAGATTATTACATATTTATTTTGCATGCACACACACCCTGAGGGTGACAGACAGAGAGCAGCAGCTGTTGTGATCACTGTGATGAGATTGGACAACAGAGGTCAAATGACCTCTTTAGATGGCACAGCAAAGCACTCATGATCAAACTATGTACGTACTAAAACTGTTTCTATGTAGAATCTGATCAATTCTGTTAACGGAGGAGGAAGATGATACACACACTTTTGCACACATATAGCTGGCAGTGTGAGTTTATACAACACCTACGCTGGGTTAAGTGTTGAAGAGTAGAGTCACAGTCAAGAACACTCGAGCAGATTCTGTTTCACAGGATTAATTATGGAAAGGAGCCAATGGTCCTTTCCATCATTTCAGAGGATGATCATTTTCTTGACATTTTCTACCCTAACCTTGTATTTGTAGGGAAAAACGAAATTTCTTTTGTTTTTTAAATGTTTAATCTTTAAAACGCCCTCCAGAGGGCTGGAAAAAAGATTTTCAGGTGAATAATCTTTAAGAGCAAAATAAAGAAGCCAAATTCTTTTCTACAACTCCATCTTTACCCTAATTTTAACCCTTAACAAATGTAAGGCTACTAGTCATAAAACTTTGGCCAAACAATTGATTACAATTTTCTTTGTACTTTCAGCCTAATCATAAAAAGGAAGAAGTGTTGTTAGTTGGAAATGAATACAGGAACATAAATAGAAGCATTCAAACAAAAAGTGCACCAGGAAAATTTACGTTGCTGTTTCAGATTATTATGACCAATATAACCAATAAAATCATATAACTATGATTTATATGATAATGGATTTTTTTTTGTCCACAAAGGGACATCAAATACATTACCATCATGTAACTGTAAATAAGTCTCTGCAACATTCAATACCCGCCCACGCACTTTTTCAGTAGCAGCATGAAGGTAACACATGCGTGTGGAAGCATACACTCAAAGTAAGTCATATATCTGCATTGTACTGGAGAAAACTAAACATATCCCAAGTTCAACAAAGCTGCACGCAAGAACATCCTTGCAAACACGTTAAAATCTGGGTAATCTGGAGCAAAAGGCTCGCTCTGGAATTAATTAATCAATAAAAGACCTTCACTGATTCTTAGTTTGTAATTGTGGTTTATTTAATAACACATGAATAGGGGATCCCTAACCTCTCAATGACACAAATTTAGTGCAAAACCCCCAAAACATCTAATAATGTGTCTGTCCATGGGACATTTGTATAATTTTTCCTATATTCAAACAGGGCCACTTTTAGTGCCAGTTGATGATGCACATCCATTCCCTCCCACGTTTCCCAGCTAACGATAGAGCAATTTTAGATTTCACACAATTTCCTCCTGGCTGATGGTGCCATGGTAATGGGCGTCCGTGCCAGAAACCAGGCTGGCAGACCAGACAAGCTAACCTCAATACCCTTCTGTGTCAACATGGCAGCCTCCCTGACTCCTCATGCTGACAACACAGCTGGTCAATTATTCAGAGATTATACCTTCTCCAAGTCAGACAGCAAAGGGAGTGCAGGGCAAGGACTGCGAGAGGAGGCCAGAGAAACTATTTACATGAATGCAAATGTCTTTTCTTGCTTTCTAATTGTGCATGTCCTCTTGTGTTTTTCTGACTGAAAGTCACCCACTGAGTATTTGATCCCAACATAGAAAATAACCAGCAGGATACATGTATGCGATGCTAATGATTTACTACTAAATTATGGGTGACGTGACTGAATGCAGAATAGAGCAAAGCACAATCTCAGGAAGTATTAAGAGTGCCAACAAAACCATGAGTTGCTATGGTAACTACAAAGTACCCGTAATAGTTGCCACTGTGCACACACACACACCCACACACACACACACACACACACACACACGCGCAGACTTGCTCTAATGCACGAGTATGAGCTCTGCCTCAACAGAAGCCTCTCCCACTCGCTTTGGAGAGGAAGCCATTATGGAGTCCACCGTTTAAGATCATTAACATCTCAAACACGTTATCTCTGCGAACTGTGTTTAGGGCATGGGAGATGAGACCACACAGCAGCAGGTCCTCACTCTGCACGGCGCCTCTCTCTGAGTCTTTACCAGCCGCTCACTTGACGAATGAGCTGCCGGAGGCAACGAGCTCGATGAGCAAAACCACCACATCGGCTTTGCACGATGCAGATGTGAGATGCTAAAGCTCTCTGACACGGTCATATGTTCACACACACTTGTACACACCTAGAGGCCTGCTTACACAGCACCACTTCCTCCCGTGACTTCTGCTTTTAAAGTACGCGTATGTGTTTTTGTTTTTTTCCCCCCGTATAAATGGCCGTTTCTTTCCCGGCACTACTGAGAAACCGACTGTCTTATCCATCTAAATATTTCCTGATATCACAATTCATCCATCAGGGTGAGAGCCACATAAATCGTGTACCTTCGCTGCGTGCTTGGGCTTCCGGAAGAACGAGGTCTTGGCTGTGAAGAAAGTGAAGTCCTCGCTCTCTTCGTCCAGGCTGCAGTACCCGCTGCTCATGCTGTTGCTGCTGGTCATGGAGGGGGTCAGCACCGCGTTGACAGTCATGGAGAGCTCAGCGGGCACAGCTCGCGGCACCGGGGCAGCACGCTGACAGCTTGAGGAAGTGTAGGATTGTCTCGAAAACGCAGCGCTGAAGTGACACCCGGCCACAGTCAGAGTCCGCTCGCACCAAACCGTCCTCTGCTCATCCAGGAGAAGTCAGGGCTCCTGTGCCGTTGCATCCAGGGAGTTCCAGTCCCACCTGTGACGGCCAAACAGGTGAACTCGGCTCAGATTTGGCACTTTGGGTGCCACCGGAGAGGGGAGCAGGAAATACGAGAACGAGCACAGACGTGTCACTTCCTCCAGGCTGGGTGTGTGCGAGAACGCTCTGATGCTGTTGTCAAAAACAGGCCGTTGTCCGCTACCTGGCCATTTGCAGCTAAACGCAGAGACCTGCGCCCGGTCACACATGACACGAACACACGCACATAGGTGCACCGTGGTGTCAAGGAGTCAGCTTACAGGCTGGTTTCAAGTTAACTCCGCTCACCTGAGAGCACCTGCTATGACCGCAAACTAATGAAGGCATGCACACAAATCCACATCCTGCTCTGGTCCTGCTCAGTGTCGGCACGAAGGAGCCAACGACATTTCATGTCCTAGTTACAGAGGCAGCTCAGTTATGTCGGTGTTTATTTGCTTCAAGCATCCATCCGTGGCGGGACTCAGGAGTGAGCAGCAGCAGAAGGCAGCAAGACGTCCCCCTCCTCTATCCGTTGCTTTGGCAATATCATCAGAGCCTGATTCCTCCCACTCTTGCTCCTCTCTTTCCCACTCTCCTCTTCCACCTACCCGTCTTTACTCCTCCAGTCTCTCACAGCCTCGCTCAACCATCTGTGGTTGAGTGCGTTATCGGGCGCCGAGCTCCCTCCCCCTTCTCCCTCCACTCTCTCTCTTCCTGCGAGCAACTGCACCCTGCAGAGCATGGCCACTTCCTCTCGCATAAGACGAAAGCAAGAAAGAGGGAGAGGCACGGGTAGACAGAAATGCTGATGAGGGAGAGATATGAAGCCCCTCAGCTCCTGAGTTGTATACGTCAAAGAAGCAGAGACAGGAAGTGGCAGCGAGTCTGAGAAAGATGGCAGCTCTACTGACATTCTGCTGCATGCATGCAACGGCTGACTGGAAGCCAAAATAGCCACCATAAACGGGGCTTTTATGTAGGATCAATCTATAATAATGACTAAACTGTCAGCATCAGACCCAGTGGGAGTCAGAAGGAGAATATGAATCCATGTGCACTGCTTCTGCTCATTTGCTGCTGAGGTGGTTATCTTATGTTGCCTGAGGTGAGATTAAAAAAAGCGACCGACGGCTGCCCCCTGAACGGAGATTGCACTGACCTCTGACCTTACAACTGACCACCCTTTTCAAATACAAGCCAATGCCCCCGTCCACCCTGATATTGACTGCACACATGTGGATCGGTCTGCACACACTTTCAGCAACAGGATTTTAAAATCGGCTAATGCGCGATGTGAGTCGGCTTACATGTTATGCGAGCGCCGTGGCACGCAGAGACCCCGCGTCACCCTTTTACAGGATGCCTGTCAGGTTTGAGTCAGCTCATGAGTGATTACTTTCAGCACGGCGCTTTGCCTCTTTCAATTTAATCACTGTGGGGGAAGACAGCGAGCAGGGGGTGGGATGCTACGAACACACGCACACACACATGCACACAAATGCATACTGAACAAAGTCTCCTTTTGCTCCGGGTCGATAAACCCTGGTCAGTTTGCTAAATGTGAGCATGGCTGTGGCAACGTAGATCCCTGTTGGGGTGAAAAGGGGATCAATTCTTGCTGAGGCACACACTTAGCAACAACAGAGGGGAAAAACACAACCTCACATGCCCTGCTACACAACCGGGCAAAGGGAGAAACGGCACTGCGGGAAACAAACTGTCATCTTTCCTCTGGTCTGCAGTAGTGCTGTAGTCCTTTCTGGCAAGGGCACTACAGTGTGCACAGAAACAAGGCCCTGGGTTCAAATGCATCCAAGCAGACATTGTCAACGCTCGATTAATTCCAAATTACAGCTCACCATCTTCAACTAGCTTTAAAAGTGTTTAACAATTATGCGTGTCCGCCTCAATTAATGCATCAGAAAAGTTTAACACAAAGTTATCCACATTAAGCTTGAAACCAAATTGGCATTTTCAATGCTGTAAAAGATTTAGATGAAATAATCTGCATTGTAAACGCACAATGGACACGCAGTATAAAGCTTAATGTTATTGTGAATGTGATTCTGCAGAAATGTTGAAAATGGTGTATCACAATTAACCTTTGGAACCAGTTTGGATATGGGTTGTAGTGACTGTAGTGGTTCATGTCAAATGTTAATTGTTGACACCTCTTATTGGCAGTATATTTCACATGCTATAAATACACCTATCATTATTTTTGTAAAAGGTGTTGTAATGTGCACTCCTGTTCTTTATAAACAAAACACTTTCTGATTTGTGAAATGTTATTTCTGCATTCCCACATACAAATGCCAGTAATTACCTCTTCTGTCTCCTCAAGACAGATGAATGTAATAAAGCACTACAATGGCTACATAAGACGTACAGAAAGCATTACAAATTAACTGATCACTTGTACTTATTTGTATGATCATTACTCCCATATATAGAAATGTATCAAAAAGCCGTTTTGGTAACACTAAAGAGGGAAAACTTTGACTTAAATCTTTACTACTTGTTATTTTTCTCAAACTTTCACTTTCCAGGGCAGCATGAATGAGTAATTAAGTAAATATAAATGATCTCTGAAAACATAGTACCACTAATGGCACACTACTAGGGGTTTAATTTAGTCTAATCTGGCCCGTGGGACTGAGTAGCTGCCAACATCTGCTCCAGGCTTGTGTTGGTCCATAGCACAACCCTCTCTTTCACATGATATGTGGATCAGTGTTTGGGTTATAGTAGCTGGACAACATTGCGTGGGAGCAGATACACACTCTTTTGGATTGTTTTTTTATACGATTACATGCTTCAACAAAGAATGAATGAGGATATATTCCAAGGCTGAATTTTGCTGAACCAATGTGTTGCTACAGAACAACCTTGTGGTTTACACAGCAAGAAAAAAGCAGGGAGATATTGAATAATTTGTCACTTGGGCTTACACTAAATAAACAATTTCTCATAAAAACAAAAGAATAGAATAAGAGAGCAGCTAACGCTGACACAAATATACCATGACTGAGATCTGTCAGAGAACACTGAGTAACCTAACTGCTCTGTTTGTTTGACAAGACATAAGGAAGTTACTTTATTCATCACTGACTGGATGGAATAAAGCCAGCTAATACAGGACGGATCTGACGGAAGAAAGAGGAGGCAAATGCCAGCATGTTCCTATGTCAGTCCTGAGGAGATTAGGAGAACGAAAAAAACAAACCAACAAGAGCTCGGATGAATTCAAAAGTAAATGGCCAAAGAAGGGTCAGCGCGTTGTGTGATCCGACGACGGTTTGTAAAAGAGTAGGAGAGGAGAAATGAGGCCGAATGACTCTCATAACCTCATAACTCTCATAACCCAAACGCACGCACAGGCATTGTGTGAAAGGCGGTCAATAGAAAGTGTTTAATAGTTCTGTTTCCCTATAAAGGCACATGTAGTGAAGCACACACTTTTTTCTCAAGACTTACTTCCTCTAAACCAGGGGCCTCGAGGCCCGCTGTCCTGCAGGTTTTACAGGTTCCCCTGCATCAATACCCCTGATTCACAGCAATCCTGTGCAGAGTTTAACAATCTTTAAAAGAGATCCATGTGATCTGAACAGGGCGTGCAGAAGCAGGGACTCCTCTCGAGGCACTCAAAGCCTGGAGTTGCCTACCCCTCCTCTATATGAAAGATATTTGTTCTGAAGCACTCACTTTGTGTAGAGGAGCTGTCGAGGAGCAGGGGCTTCTGGGAGATGGAGTTTCTTCTGGATCTCGGTCCCTCTGGTTGCAGTCAAGTTGGACCCGACTCTCGCACTCCAGGTGACAGGTGTAGCTGCAGTCTGGTAAAAGAACACAACCATCAGACAAAGCAGCAAAGCAAATGGAAACAAACAGGCAGAACTAATACAATCCTGTGGTGTTTCCTGAAAAAGCATGTCATGAAAAGCACTGTAGAAGTTTCAGTTAGTAATAAAGACGGCAGCCCATTTCTGAGTAGTTAAGAACCTTTCCATAGAAAAATGACTCCATCTAGTGGCTGAAGCCAGACTTGCACATTTAGTCTCTCAGGATAGGCAAAGGACTGCTTATCATGGGTTGTCTACAGAGATTGTCTCCTCACAGCAAGAGGGTTCCCAGTTTAAGTCACTGTGGGGAACTGGGATGCAGACAATACTGAGCCAAAGCCAAATAATGTGATAAAATCTTTTTCACAATTTTACAAGTGTGCTTCCATTTAGGCTAAATTATTTTAAGTGATTCCAGATAAATTATTATAATGACTAAATATTTATTAAAATATAATTCAACATTGACTATCAGGAAGAATTTTTCAGTAAAGCTGTCCTGATAAGACTGGCTCTTATGTGCTGATGAGCCAGAAGGTTTGAGGTACTTCCCCCAAAATTCCCCAAATTATTCTTCTGTTGTTCTTCACTTTTGTAAATAGTTTCACATAAGTGAGCTTCTTCCTGTTTATATCACTCAGTTTTGTCTTTTTTTCACAGGCTTGACTGAGATGAGCAGAGAATCTGTTAAAGGGGAAAGAGACAAGAAGGGATGTGTACAACACATCCATCCATTTTCTATACCAATTATTCCCAATGGGGGTCACGGGGGGGCTGACAGCTGGCAAGAGGCGGGGTACACCCTGTACCATCACAGGGACACACAGAGACACACAACTCACAAGACACAGTGGCCTGTAAGCACTGCTTAAGACAGTGAATAGCCTGAGCCTGTTTTTTTCCTGCCGGGTGATGTTAGCAGCTCCGTCAGTGACGAGCGCCACTGTGCTTCTCACACTCAGCATCAGCGCTGTCGCCATGGTAACAAGCGGCCTGATGACCACTGTTGAAACAGCAGAGCTCTGCTTACATAAAGTCGCTGGTGAAACGCAGTGTGTGGAAATCATCTATTAGGCATGAAGTTGAAATGAATACAGAGAACTGGATTATCAAAAGAGCCAGACTGGAAAAGAAAACCACCTTAATAAATCTCTCTCAAATGAGTGGAAAGGAACGGGACCAGGTAACCTGAGGGTGCATGGAAAGCAAGTAGGACAGGTCATATAAGGAATACTTTGCTCTCTGGAGGTCTGTGCTCAAAGGCGAGGACATATCTAAGTATGTGTGTGCCACAGGGAACAGTTGGCTGAGATAGAGAGGGAGGGAAGGGCCACGTCACCTTGTTGACAGGAGGGATGTGGCGAGGAAAGGGAAGAGTTCAGATAAGGTTTGCTCAGCTCGTGACAGTTTAGAGGTCACTGCAGGGAGACAAAAAGAAAGGAAGCCCGCAGAGCGAGGGAAAGGAGAAACTCCTTTCCTGTACTAGGCTTTTTTCATCATTTACTCCGTCCATCCAAGGTGGATCGCTGACTCTGTCACGGCCTCCACATATGGCCATGTCTATATCTGCTCGACCGCCATTTTCCTGGCAAAGACCAGTTCTGGAACACAATGATGAGCAGGATCCACCCTCAGACTGATAATTAGCTCTTTGATTCAGAAATCCTGCTCAGACCGCAGCGAACGAGCATCCTCAGTGAGCCGGTACCTTTTTCAAGGTACACACACACACTCTCAATTCAGCACTGTCAGCAAGTCCTAGCTGATCCAAATTATTCCCACACTGATAAGATGCCTCTGCCTCTGACAGAAAAATGGCATTTCAGCATTTCAGACCAAGAATTCACACAAGTACAGCAAAGATTCTGTTCTCTGTGGCTCCAGTTTAGCGGTTAAATGAGAAATTCACAGAGAACCACGTTTCAGGTTATTCATTGTAGGTGTGTGTATCTGGGTGTTTGTATGTTGCAAGTGTCGATGTGTTTATAAGATGTACTTG